CTTCTCTCACCCCAACCAATCACAGCAGATGTCCTTTGTCTGCAGCTTGTAAGGAACTGATCTTTGGAGTTCCACCAGGGGCTAAAAACGCCTGGGCTTAGAAAAAAGACCCCCAGAAACAAACTACAGGGTCAAAGTTCACATATTTGTTGTTGTTTAGTGTTTCATAGTTCAAAGTTCAAATTGCTAATTCTAAATCTTTGATTCACGTACAATCTGAGTGCTTCCATTCAGTAAAAATCTGCAAAATGTCACTTTCATTGTGTGTGTTCCCGTTATTACTCCCTTATTACACACTTATAACATTCAGTAAAACAAAACAACTACCAGATGTTGAAAGAAGTGGTATCCCTGAGAAAAGGGACAAAAGCACATCCTCAGACTTTATGACACTTTTACAGCTAAAACTACGAAGTCATTCCAGGCGGCCTGTTTAACATTATGGGGTTTAAAGGGCTTCGGTTGCTAAGTGGAAACCTGTCAAACGTCCGACCGCAGCGTAGATTTACAGTCATGTCTATCAATCCGAGCTACCTTACGTGGTTTATGCCTCCATCGGACATGGCCGTTTTGAGTTGTGCGCACGCGCAGTAACACAAGTAGGGTGTTTTGTTAGAACACCGGTTTACCGACGTTCACTTCCTGTTAACCCTTTCACAATAAAACAGGTTAGATTACGCCACATCAGATACCTCAAAAAAAAAACTGGAGCTAAAAAAGTTAAATGACGCTGAAATATTTACACTGATAAAAATAAATAAAGATATTTTAAATGCTCTGATTACGTCACTCTGTTCTCTCCTTTATGTGTTTGTATTATTATTTTCAGTGTTGGTGATCCAGGGTTTGCTCCTCCGTGTGTGATCTTCCAGAATAAAGCTGGGAATAAAAAAATAGAAACCGTTATCCAGCTGAAGTTTTCCAGCTGTTGCTCACTAACATCAGCAGGAAGGCGAGCAGCTGTGGGTCTCAGGCAGACACGGAGAGAAGCCCGCTGCAACAGGAGGATAAAACTGGTTCTAAACGAGAACAGAATGATCCTCGTGGTGGTTCTGGTCCTCGCGGGGACAGGACTGCGCGTGGACGGCGGTGAGTGACCGTCCTGCAGGAGGCTTAGAAGTGAAAAAAAAAAAAGAGGCTTAAAAGTGAAAGTAAAGAGTGACGCACATTTCAGACGATCGATTCTAGAGCTTTAACCCTGCTGCACAGGCCTGACATCTCAAAACAAAGGAGGAAATAGTTTTCACGAGATGTTCCCTGTCTGTAACTGTCCCCACGGACCGAGAGAAAACTCCGTGTTAGTCCATCCTGAGATGACCGAGTGCTGCTTCTAATTTCCACAGTCTTTACTAACACTGATGTTAGTGCGTTATTTGTCACACTTACTGTGGAATATATATATACTGGAATGCTGGGTATAAAAGTCTGGGCTAAGTCTTCTGTTAGAAGGACTGCAGCAGTCCAGGAGTTGGGTTAACTTTCTTTCATTAATCTTGTTTCCATCAAAGTGCTTGCCAGGCTTAATCCAAACTCAGTGCAGCCATACTTGACCTTATTGTTGTGTAGTACACAGTATGTGTGACTCTGAGCATGGTTTTCTGGAAACAGAAACAGGTAATTCTACAATGAGTAGAGTCATAGATAGCTAGGAAAACAATCACAACACATCATCTATTAACACAAGCAATATCTCATAATGTCCACAAGGGGTCACTGTAGAAGATAAATTGGCCAAACCGCACATGTCTTACAAGTTGTTACTAGTAAGGCACAAATATGGCAAACTAGCAACAGTTGAACTGAACAATAGAAAAGTCCTTCATTCCTAATACAGCTGGATGGTCACTGCTACTAACTTAGTCCTGAATAATCCAACAACTGAGGCATAATTTTAACATGCACTGGTTAAGTATAACCAGTATCATGCCAATTAACCGACCAAAAGAAATAACACTTCGAGGTTCATTAACGCACAACTTGATCACACAAAACTGTGTTACCACTGCAGAGCTCAGCAGCAGCTCCTTTAGTCATCCCCACTCTGGTACTGAGCACACGACCTCTGATGCACTTGTTTCCTTTGGTTCACTTGCTGAAATTCCACTTGTGTGTAAATGATCAGTTTCAGTTTGTTCTTCTCTCCTGGTCTCGTGTTAGCATCAGCACTTATCAACA